AACGGGACAGGTCCAGCATTCACACCCTTTATTGTCACCACATTCTGGTTGGGGTTGTTGTCTGGCTGGAAGTTGATACTGCTGAGAGGTGATTGCTCCTTCCTTTGTTGGCAAACAATGATCTCATAAGAGCTGTTGGGAAAAAGGGAGCTGAGTGCTGGAGTCAGAGGAAAAAAAAAAACAAAGCCAGGGTGGGCCAAAAAGGCTTGAGCTCCTTTGCCTTGCCTAGATGGATATCTGCAGTGGGGGAGAAGAAAAACAGGGAGAAAAGTTGCCTTATCTCTGACTGCTTTGCCTCAGTTAAAAAAACCCTCATGTTGCCACCGTGTCACTTCACATTTTATAATTCCCCCTTACTTACAGTCTCCAGATTTTCAGTACATACATGTAATTGTTTGCTTCTTGTTGTTTAAGGAAAGAAACTTAGGAGGAGCATTGAATTTTTAATTACCTCCCACCCCCCCAGTTTATAATTTTATGGGATGTACTGCTCTCTTTATTCACTGAGGAAATGGGAGTTTCGAATTCCTGACGTGTCTTCCCCCCCTCAGTGCGTTGATTCCATCCCCGAGGTGTTTGTCACAAACATTCGGGATTCTGCCTCCAATGTGGCTCTTTCAGCCTCACCACTTGTCTGCTCCATCTCAGGCTGGTTGGGGTACAGGGACCTCTCCTGCTGGGAGGGGAGCAGCTCTGCAGGGGTTCTGTGCAGATGAATCAGTGGTGAATACCTGTCAAAGCCAGGGAGTCACAAGAACCCTCCGATAGTCACCGTATTGACTTCCCTTCTTGTTCCCCGGCATCTGAATCCCATTAACAGCTGTCAAAACCTGGTAAACTATTTATATGCTTTCACAATTTGTTTAATTGGATAGTTAGGAAATGGCAGACAAGAAAAGCTTTTCTTCCCCCCCCCCCCCCCCTTTTTTTTTTTTTCCCTCTCTTTTCCTTTAGTCTGGCTGAACATCTGTAGCATTAGGGGCTCATTATCTCTGAATTGGCACAGCAAATCAGCAGCATCATTAAAATGCCACATTAAGATGATTAAGTTTCTTTGTTACCCAGTTGACTTTTTGCATGTGCTGAGGATTTCACGATTATGACCCCACTCCTTGTAAAACACTTGAGCTACATCACCCTTTCCTGCGTTGTCTTTAATGGCTTCTGGGTTTTATTCCTCGTGCTTTTCCTAAAGCTCCCGGTAAACTTTGCTTAACAGCAGGACAAAACTTACCTTCTCTTCTCTGTAGTTGATGGCAAAGTCTTGGATTAAATGGAGAAACCTCCTCCTAGAGAAAACAGCTAAGATTAAGAAAACCCCCGTATCTTGTTCTAATTATTTGTTACTCTTGACTTTTTTTTATTCCTTCATTTTCAGCCTGGAGAAGAGAAGGTTGTGTGGAGACCTCACAGCACCTTCCAGTGTCAGGAGGGACCACAAGGGAGCTGGAGAGGGCCTGTGGTGCCAGGACAGGGGGGAATGGCCTCATACTGAAAGATGGGAAATTTAGGTTGGATATAGGGAAAAAATTCCTCCCTGGGAGGGTGGGCAGGCCCTGGCACAGGTTGCCCTGAGAAGCTGTGGCTGTTCCATCCCTGGAAGTGTCCAAGGCCAGGCTGGACAGGGCTTGGAGCAACCTGGGCCAGTGGAAGGTGTCCCTGCCCATGGCAGGGGGTGGGACTGGAAGAGCTTTAATGTCCTTCCAAGCCAAACCCCGGGTGATTCTCTGGTTTTACCGAGCACACACAAGCCCTGTTTGGGTGGTGACTCAGTCTGAAGTTGCCACCGCAGCTTTATTTTGGATTTTTTCCAGAACCCATTGTTTTTGCAGTGTTTCAGGTGAAACAAAAATATTACTCTGGAGTATGTCTTTCATCTCGTAATCATCTCCCCAGGAAATGAAACCATGTGCATCAGCCTTAACGCATCACACCGGTACTTTGTTGTGTAAAAGCTGCAGGTTTGTTTTTTTTTTTCTCGGTGTATATTAACTCCATGAACTGCCTCAAGAAAAATAGTTCCCTGGCTTGGGCACCACGGGTGGGTTATTTCTCTTTCAACCTCTTTATTTTCCTCATAGAAGAGATGACAGCATTCTATTTTTTTTTTTCCACTGTGGGAACTTGGTTAGTGCTTTTAGGGATAATTGTGTTTTTCCTCAGTTAAATCTCCCTTTTCTACATGAAGTCACATTCACCTTCCTCTTGATTAAGGTGGACCAGCCTGAAAACTCCCTGATCTCATCAAAACGAGTTGATATGATTTTGAGGTGATGGATACAAACCTTCCACGCCGCTGCCAATCTCCTGATCTCCCGGTGTGCCCTGGGCGTGCCAGGACAGAGCAAAAGTGAGGCCTGAAAAAGGACTTTGATGCTTCCAGACTCTGCAACCACCTGCTTGGTTTTAGCCTGACTTGCACTGAGCCATTTTTTCCTCAGACTGTTTTTGTACCAAAGCTGTCTCCTGGGTGGCTCTCAGCGAGGCAGAGCAGCCTCCAAATCGTAACAGGTGAAAAATTCCAACCCTTCTAACATATATTTGCTTTAAACCAGCCTCTTCCCTTGTGGCTTCTGCTGCTCTCAGCCAGGACGTGGCAGGTGAAAGGTGAGACGTTGGGCAGAAAGCGGGAATTGAAATTGTGTCTGAAAGCACCAAGAAGGTGCAGCTGCACCGGGCACTTCCTTTTACCGCGCTGGGCAGGATGTAGCAAATTATTTTGGAACTGCCTCCCTTCAAGAGGGGAAAAAAACAACCAACCAGCCCACCAAAAAAAGCACTTTTATTTATTTTTTTTTTTCCTCTTTTCCCTTGGAAAAGACATTGTGCTGAAAGCTGCTGTCAGCAACTGGCAATCATTTTCCCTTGGAGTGATGGAAATGGATGTATGAACTAATTTTGAAGGAATCTTGATAGCAGGATCACCCTGGCAGCCTCAGACGTGAAGTTGGCAGCTGAAGGCACCTGCAGAGGAAGCAGGAATTCATGGGATGTGAAGCAGGAATTCATGGGATGTGAAGCAGAACTGATGATGAAGAATCCACGGAGAAAAACAGCCCATTTTGGGTGAATTTGGAGCTCTCTGTGACCCTCTGAGCAAACACCCAAACCCATGTGAGCTCATCAGGGACCAGGACACCAAACTCGAAGCATTGTCAAGGACAGAGGGATAAAACCACACAATATGAGGGGAAAGCCCATCCTTCTGTGGATATCCTCATCCAGGGAGAGCACCAGAGGGATCTCAGAGTTTCCCACACCACCACAGAGTGTAGGATGAAGGAATCACCACCCACCTGTTCCCTCCCCCTCAACTCAGACGGTTTGGCCGGGCTTAGGGAATAATTTAGGACAGAGGAGAAATATTCTCACCAAAATAGAGTTGAAAATTTTGATTTCATGGAAGCTGGGGTTGCCAGATCTTTCTTTTTCAGCTCTGCTTTTATGTCGCCACCTCATTTTCGCTGCCACCCATTGTTTGTTCTCGGCATTTGATGTGGTTTGTTACTCAGAACCAGAGCTAATACATATTCAGCAGTTTGTGTTCTGTACTTTGGAGAAAGGACAAGTGGTTCAGTGCCAGATTCAACTGTCTAACCCTGGGCTGCAGGGAGGAGCAGGTGGCCAGAGAACAAGGCTCTCAAACAGGAAGCCACGTGGTGCATCTCGTGGGGTTTGTCTTCACTGGGGAGCTTGAGCAGAACTGGAGTTCCAGCCATAGTCTCTCTGTCAGAGAACCATGGAATGGTTTTTGGCTTGGAAGGACATTAAAACCCATCCAGTGCCACCCCCTGCCATGGGCAGGGACACCTTCCACTGGCCCAGGTTGCTCCAAGCCCCTTCCAACCTGGCCATGGACACTTCTAGGGATGGAACAGCCACAGCTTCTCTGGGCAACCTGTGCCAGGGCCTCCCCACCCCCCCAGGGAGGAATTTCTTCCCTATATCCAACCTAAATTTCCTGTCTTCCAGTGTGAAGCCATTCCCCCCTGTCCTGTCACCCCAGTTCCTGATGCAAAGTCCCTCTCCAGCTCCTTTGTGGCCCCTGCAGACACTGGAAGGTGCTGTGAGGTCTCCACACAACCTTTTTTTTCTCCAGACTGAGCAACCCCAAATTCCTCAGCCAGCTTTAAGCAGCAAAAAGCCATCCTGGTGATAACTGAGGGTTTTAGTGGAAGTGCTGGAGAGTTAACAGTGGAAAGGAAATGCAGCACCATAAGCTGGGAATCACCAACCGTTTATACGGTGTGACCAATTTTCCTCACATTTTCACGTTGTTAGTAAATCATTATCGACTTCCTGTGTGTCCACCTTTGTCATGGAGCTGCACTCATTGAGGCAATGCCTCTGGATTCCTCTGCACGTGGGGACAGGCCCAGGGATCTGTTTGAGGGCCATGAATGCTGATCTTCAGCTTCGGGTTCTTTGCCTCACCCTCACGACTTCGGACAAACCTTTTGATTTTTCGGGGATACATTCACTCCTCAGGAAATCCTTCCCCCTCCTCTGCCGGTTTTACTCACGCAGTAAACGGGGATTGCAGGCTGCTCCTCGCACCAGAGATTCCACGGGAAGATAAAAGTTACAAGATATAATTATCCTTTTTTAATTTGTGTCTTTCTGTATTTCCAGTTCACAGGAGCAGACTGAGATGCTGATTTCTATAGAAATTAAAATTGTGAGTGATGTGAACAAGTGTTCTCTTTTGAATCCTGACTAGTTCCCTGTAATTTCAGGAGAAGTTTGTACTGTATCCTACTTTCATAACCTGTAAAAAGAAATTATCCATCGCAGGTAATTAGCAGGCAGGTCAATGTTTCTAAGGATTATCTCACTAAGTGTCCATGACCAGTTTAATTTCTTCGTATTTGGATGTTTCAGTAACACTTTTAGGAAATGGATAACGTCATTTGATATAATTTTTGGCTCTTTGTTTTTCCTAAGGTACTTTGTGCATAAGATGAGCATCTTTTCACTCCTGTGCTTTGTTCTACCTGCAGATGATGTGATCAAAGTGAAGGGTGAATACAGTGAAAGAGAGGAGAGTGCTTTAAATTCCGAGCCTATGGAGAACCCGGAGGAATCTGAGCTGCCTTACACCTATCCCAGAGAATATAACGAGTATGAGAGCATTAAACTGGAGAGACACTCAGGTTCCTATGACCACGTCAGGCCAGCTAGTGGGAAGATGACTTGTGATATCTGTGGATTAGCCTGCATTAGCCTCAATGTCTTGATGGTTCATAAGCGTAGCCACACTGGTAAATATCCCTCTGTTGTTCTTGTAAGAGCTGGGCACTGACAGGATAATGATTTTTAATCCAGACTACTTATTTTAAAAAAAAAGGATCCCAAAGCCAGGCTTTCCTTGTCCTGCCCTGGAGGCCACATGTGATCTCTAGCAAGTTCCCCACTGTTCTGTGCCTCACTTTACCCTCCTTTCTTCTCACCAGGATTGAATGTTAATAAAAAGCATGTTTGTGAGGCATTTTAAGAATTCTGGATGAAAGGCACTATGTGATGTCAGTATTTCAGGCACAAAGCACGAGTTAGTTGGGTTTTGTGCTACCATTTCCAGTCTGTGGATGTACTTCTCTCTGTGCTATCCCTGGGCAACAAACCAACCAGCATCTTAAGTTTCAACCTGCAGTAAGATAAGGCTTTTTTTTTTTTTTTTTTCCTTTTTCTTCTAAAAATTGCTGGCTTGTTGGAATCAGCCTCCTCCAGAGCACTTCTTTCCATGGCAGAACTGTGCAGTGCTTTCCATATGCTACGAGCAGCTCTGACACCAGAGCGGCACCTCCCTCCCACTGAAATCCCACTCTGCGTGTTTCTGTAGAGAGAAGTTGAGCCAGTATCTCATTCTTTCCTCTTCCAAAAAAGGCAGAGGGCAACCTGATACCCACGTAACCATTAAATGTCCTTTTCTGTATGTCATTTTAAGGTGAACGGCCATTCCAGTGTAATCAGTGCGGAGCTTCCTTTACTCAGAAGGGAAACCTCCTCCGCCACATTAAACTACACACAGGGGAAAAACCTTTTAAGTGCCACCTGTGCAGTTATGCCTGCCAGAGGAGGGATGCGCTTACGGGTCACTTAAGGACACATTCTGGTAAGTGACTTCACAGGCACCTCACGTGGTTCAGGTGTGTGTCACTGGGACACTCGGGGGGCGAGGTTTGCTCAGCCTGCTCGAGAGCCCACACGGAGCAGGGACCCACTCAGGCCCTGCTCTGGGTGCTCCTAGTGCGGGGGGAACACGTGTCACAGCCCACAGACCTCCTGGCACAAACAACTCCGCGGGATTCTCACAGAATCAGCTCAGTTGGAAAAGGCCTCCCAGGTCATCAGATCCAACCTCTGACCCATCACCAGCTTGCCAGATCATTTGCAGATGAGTGCTGCTGGCTTTGCCAGCAAGCTCTGAACTCCAGGGCAGTGGGAGAGGTACTTTGCTGGGATTTCCTCCTGTCCCATCCTGACCTGTGAGAAAAGCTCTGGGAGCACAGTCCTGGGCAGAATGACTCCATTGCCAATTGACGCCTCTCTGTGGTCTAGTGCCTTTCATCTGAATCTCTTAACATGCTCACAGATGGTTCTTGTCCAGCCTGGTAGGGTGTTCTGTCCATTTTGCGGAGGGGAAAATGGAGGCACAGAGCTGAGGGGACCTGAATAACAAGCCAGGTCAAAATTGGCCCTAGTTCCCCCAGTTCTGCAGGAGCCAGGTTGTGCTTGCCCTTGGATTTGTGTCTATCCTGGGATCTACAAGGGCCCAGGAAGAAAACATTGGTTCTGAATGACAGATGCTATCTCTGCACTGCACTGCACAGAAAAAAAAGTTCAACCTCACAGAGTCAAAGGCAAAAACGACCTTATCTGCCATGGATAAATGAGTTCTGATTTAATCAAGACCAGCAGAGTGGTGGTGACTCTCCCCCACCAGCACAATGCTAAAACCTTGGACACTCCCAGGGATGGAGCAGCCACAGCTGCTCTGGGCAACCTGTGTCAGGGCCTCCCCACTCTCACAGGGAAGAATTCTTCCTACTATCTAATTTTAGAGGATGTCTGTTCCCAAACCAGTACTGAGATAATTTAGGAAGCACTTCCAGTCCTTGCCTATGAGGCTATGTGGGGACAGGCTATGTGGGGATCTCGAGTTTCAAACAGATTTGCTTTAGTCTAAATGAATTAGGATTCATTCTCTCTGCAACAAATGCCTTTGGGAATGAAATCAGTTTAATGAAATCCTTGAAGAATTTAGTACAGGCAGGACCCAGGTCAGGCACTCAGGGCTGTGGCAGTCCTGGTTTGGCAGTGGTACTGTCAGAAGCTACTCTAGGGAAAGCTGTCACAGGGCTCTGGGAACAGTGTTCTCACTTAAAAACCTCTTCCTTTCTGGTGCTGAGCTTAGAGGATGAGGAGGAACTCTGTGTGTCTGGTGGTTTCACCCTCACGTCACCCTAAATTTGTGATGATTAAACTCAACGGGAATTTTGAGCGTTCTCCATAAGCTGAACGTAGGCTGTTGGTAACTGTGTGCTGAATGTCAGGACAGGGTGTCTTAGTGGTCTCTTGTGGCTGTTTTAATTACTTTATGATGTATTTTTTTTTTCTAGTGGAGAAGCCATACAAATGTGAGTTCTGTGGCAGGAGCTACAAGCAGAGGAGCTCTCTGGAGGAGCACAAGGAGCGGTGCCGGACTTACCTGCAGAGCGCTGGCATGTGTGAGGCTGGTGAGTTCATCACAGCACGGTGGTTTTGGGGGTTTGCTGCATTACAGGGCTCCAAAAAGGGCGTCTGGGGAGCTGTTAACCCACAGCCTGAGAACAGCTTTTCCTCCACTCAGCTTTCAGTAACCTGAGGGGCTGTAGTGTTGTAAAGGGGCTGGTTCAGCCGCAGCCCTCGGGCAGGGAGTTAAAGAGTGCCTTTATCTTAATCCCTTTTTTGTTTCACAGTTACTTTGAATAAAACATCTAAAACACCTTGTACCCAACATTCTGTAGGTGATACAGTGGGTTAAATTATTCCTGCATTAATGCCATTATGTGGCTCATTTAATGGGCTGAGTTGTTGACAACAGTTGCTCATGTCTCAATCTGTTTGATGGTTCCTCTTCTTTTGAATAAGAACTATTAATCATAATCTGTTAGAATATCCAGAAGTTTTAGTGGCCTGGATCCAAGGCATGGAAATGGGTTGGTATCCCAAAAATCTCTTAACAGATCAGCTAAGGAGGGAGTGAGAGGTAAGGGATTGCTTTGAGTATAGAGCTGCCTTTGCAAAAGTGTCAAGGTAAAATATATCAAAACAGGTTTTTTCTTATTTTCCCTTTTTCAGTCCCAGTGCTGCAGTTCCAAACAGTGGAGTCATGGAATCACAGGATGGTTTGGGTGGGAGGGACCTTAAAACCCATCCAGTGCCACCCCCTGCCATGGGCAGGGACACCTTCCACTACCCCAGGTTGCTCCAAGCCCCGTCCAACCTGACCTTGGACACTTCCAGGGCTGGGGCAGCCACAGCTTCTCTGGGCAACCTGTGCCAGGGCCTGCCCACCCTCACAGGGAGGAATTTCTTCCAAATAACTCTATCAGCAACAGTAAGGACAAGCTTCTGCAGGAATCATCACAAGCCAGTGTGAAGAGCCATCGATGTGTGATGAAAACTGTGAGCACAGGAGTCCTTACCCTGTGCACAGTGAGCAGGCTGTTTCAGGCACACATGAAACCTCCCAAAGGACATCACTTGGCAAAGAGTTTTATAGGGGTTTTTTTAGAGTTTTGTAGTTTTTGGGAGGCTCTCTTGTCAGCACATGACTTTTTTTTAGAGCTTTAGGAAAAGTAACTGGTTATCAGCGCATCAGTGAGTTCTGGTTTTCATGAGAACCCTTTACACATTGTAACTGTGGTTTGTGTCACAGTACACACTCCCCTGTACAATCACCCGGTGTGTCCAGCCCTGAAAATGGAAAACCTGAGACCTCCCAGAGCTCTCAGTGGTTCTCAGGGTTCAGATGCGTTTCAGAGCAGTGACATTTCACTCCTCAGCCCAGCCTGCTGTGCAGTCCTTGCTGCCATGGGCAGGGAGCCTTGGCTGCTCACAGGGAATGCAAATTCCCACTGTTAGATGAGGTGGCTGCTCCCTCTGCCTTGGAGACCTTCACACTCTTACAAATACCCCGGTGTTTTTAGGGGTGGAGGAAGTTTTATGAAAAATGGGAACTCCTGGGGCATTTCCATCCAGTTTCCTGGTACCAGCAGGATGTTGGGTGACAGCACCAGGGGGAGGGAAGGCTGGAAAGGCCCTCAGGAGGTCATTGGGTACATTTTGTTTATTTTCTTCCCTAAGCGTAGCATTTTGTACTTGTGTTTAGTAAACATCCTCTTTCCGTTTCTGACCCTTTTCCTACCTCTCTGCATCACTTTCCATTCTGGTGCTTTTTCTGAAATCCTTGCAAGCTTCTCAACCTGGTCTAGTGGGAGGTGTCCTTGCCCATGGGGGTTTGGAATTACAGAATCTGTAAAGTTCCCTCCAACTCAAACCATTCTGTGATTCTCACATGGAGCCATCTTTAACCACAAATATGCTCTCCGTGCATCATCCATAACTAATTAGAATATTTAGAGGCGTCAGGACCACAGTAACCATTCTAGTTCCTTTTTTTAGCACCAGGTTCCAAAGGTGGAAATATTTCTAAAAGGAAAGCTTTATGTAACAATACTGTTGGAGCATTGTCCCTGATAACCATCTCTCTGCTCACATTGTTGTCATTGCACAATCACCCAGCTCTGTTCCACTCTCCATTCTCAAGTGACCACACAGAGATGCTACAGGAAGCAATGCCTCTAATTTCAGCTCTGCTCTGTTCTCGAGGGCTCCGCTCGCCATATCCGCACCTTCTAAAAATTCTACTCACACTGGTGGTGGTGTGGCAGAAACCACACTATGGAAACAGCTCAGTGCAGGGGGACGGGGGGTGTGCTCAGGGCTGGGGCAGCAACCGCTCTCTCTGCAGCCACGGGGGGACACAGAGAGGGAGATCCCACCCCTGGAAGTGTCCAAAGGCAGCTTGGTCGGGGCTTGGAGCATCCTGTGCTAGTGAAAGGGGGTGGGACTGGATGGGCTTTAAGCTCCCTCCCAATCCAAACCACTCTGTGATGGCCAGCAGCGTTTGGAGAGGTTGTGTGATCACAAGACAATGGATAATTCACATTGGCAGGGCAGTTGTCTTCTGGCAGTGAGTCAGGATCACACCTGACACCTCCACTGAGGCTGGAGCAGGGCTGGGAGCACCAGGGAGACATCCCAGGGGGAGCAGGGGAGACCACCCTCAGCCCCAGGGCTGGCTAAGCAGGAGAGGGGCACCCAGGCTGAAAAGTGGCAGCAGGGATGAATATATTTACGTGAGTCTCCAAACACACTGGAGTAATTTAGGAGAAAAACCAGGCCAGCAGAGCAGAGTGTTATTCCCTTTCAGGCACTTCATGCCCTGCATGGGGGTTACAGGAGTGTGGCAGAGCCGAGCTGGGCCCTGGTATCCCATCATTCCTGACTCAGATTCGTAGCTGGTGTTTGTACCTCTGATACACTTCACATTTTCAAAGTGCTGAACAAACACGAACAAATAGTTCTGGCTGAGGTTTGGTGAGTCATGGTTTGTGTTGACTGAAACTCGTGCGATAGCAGGAGCGGCACCGACAAACAGGGAAAGGCTGCTCAGAGCTGGGAAGGATGAAGCTGCACTTTCAGCGCTTGCTGTATTTGGCAAAGCAATTTAAGTCTAATAATTAATAAATCTGCCTTTAGCAGGACAGAAGTGAAACCAAAGCATTCCTGTCACCTTCCTCTGGCAGTGCTTCTCTCTGACCTAGGTTATGCTTCATTTATTCAGGGAGGCCTCATCGTGGCCTTCCAGTGCCTTAAGGTGCTGATGAAAAGGAGGGAGAGGGACTTTTTATGTAGGTAGAGAGTGACAGGACAAGGGGGAATGGTTTCACACTGGCAGAGGGCAAGGATAGATGGGACACTGCGGAGAAATTCTTGGCTGTGAGGGGGGTGAGGCCCTGGCACAGGTTGCCCCCAGAGAAGCTGTGGCTGCCCCATCCCTGGAAGTGTCCAAGGCCAGGTTGGAGCAACCTGGGATAGCAAAAGATGTCCCTACCCATGGCAGGGGGTGGGACTGGAAGGGCTTTAAGGTCCCTTTAAGGACTCTTCCAACCTTTTGTACTACACTGGGAAAGTAAATCACCCCTCCTTGTCCTCCTTTTGTAGATCCCAACCCCTACAGACACGGGCATTTTCCTAAGACGTGTCCAGCTGTCACCACGGTGACCCCCGACCCTGGAACTCTCAGCAACGAGTTTACACTTTAATATAATGCAGTTTTAATATAAAAGTCCCAGTGCAGAGCTGTGTTGCTGAGGTGTGAGCAGGGCTGGGGGGAAGCCGCAGCAGTTACGATCAGTATTAGTGTGGTAGTAGTGAAATGAGGTGGCAGCTCTCCAGCTCAAGGCCTGTGCAGCCTCCAGGAGCTGAGAGCAAGCACAGCCCCTGTGCAGTGCTGGGCACTGCTCAGCACGGATGGGAAGAGCTCTGGAAAACGGGAAGAGCCTTAAAGTGGCCCAGTCCCAGGGGGATGATGGCAGGGCACAGACATTTTTCCTAAAATTCGACATTCTGGAGGTTAGTGAGCTTTAAAACACCATAGAGAAAACACTGACAGTTACTTTTAGCTGTAGCATTTAGGGAGAAAAATGAAGTGACAGTAAAACCTGGGAAAAAAAGGAGTTAGAAGTGAATTTTGAAAGGTTCTATTGTTTTGATTTTAATGGAACGTTAATATATTTCATACGAGTTTCTTAGTGATTCGTTATGACAACTATGACTGATATCTGAAAAGTGCAGCAAGGGGCCTGAGTGTCTTCTCCTGAGCCTGGAGCACTGTGTGAGTGTGCAGGTGTCACCCAACCTTACTCAGAATAAAAAAGAAAGGCTTGCAGAGCTTGTGTCTCCATCTGCAATTTAACCAACCTTCCAGCCCCTTCATTCACTTCCTCTCGCTGTCGCCCATGCTGGTTTGCATGGTCTGTGCTCCCTGAGCGAGCTCGGGGCTGGGCCGGCTCCCACTGACCACAACTGGTGCCCCAAGAGCAAGAATGACAGAAAAAGCAAAAAAAACCAGCTTTGCATCAGATCTCCAAAACTGTTTCCTCCAATCACTGTGGCAAATCGGAGATTAAACCAGTCAGCTCTTCCTTTATTTTATTTTTTTTTTTACTTACTTTTTATTTTCTTTCTGTTTCTTTTTTTTTTTTTTCCCCCCCCCTTCCCTTGCTCATTTTCCAACGTAGCCAGCGTGGAGGCGAGGCACATCAAGGCAGAGATGGGGAGTGAAAGAGCCCTTGTGCTGGACAGGCTAGCGAGCAACGTGGCAAAGAGGAAAAGCTCAATGCCTCAGAAATTTATTGGTAAGAACAAAACCCCCTTTTCATCCGCAGCAGCTCTATATGTGCGGGTGGGTAACCCCGGGGACAACGTCTCTGCTTCTTTTAAACACCCTGCTCAGCCTTGGCATCTAAGTGCAAAAAAATGAAGTTAACTTGGATTGTCCTGGTGGGGTTTTTAGTGATGTGGTGTAGGGGGTTGATTAAAACATTAGGAATTTGCTCTGTTGGCTGCTTAAAACTGGGTGGAAGCTGCTGCTGTGCTTTGTGTTTATTTGTGCTGGTGGTTTATAAATGTATTTTATGGTCTTTCACGTGCTGTTTCTGTACCTGTGCACTTGAAATGTTCTCTGCTAGGATCTAGAACAGGCAAAGAACAGGAAGGTTAATGTTTTCCCAGCAGGAGCCGGAGCTTCCTGCAGGACTCCTGTGTGCAATAAGGCCTAAAGACAGAAAAGTATTGGATTTCTGTTAGTCATCCTCCTAAATTTGACTATGATTAAAAAAAATATCAGATCCTTTCTTGTGGGAATTTAAGCAACCAGATGTTTCCATAGCCTTTTCTTTGCATTTAATTGTCCGTGATCAGAACTTTGCATGTCGGGGATCCGAAATACTCGTCGGGCAGGTTCTGTGTCCCAGCCGGATCCTCTTGGCCGGTCTGATTTCATCAACCCACCTTTAAAGGAGGATAAAACACCAGTCTGTGTCCTGGGGAAAGCCCTTAGTCAGCAGCTGTAGAACACAACACTGCTGCTGCTGAAGCCTTATTTGTGCTGTTTGTGTGGTTGGTTGCGGTGTCGAGTGCTGCTTTTTTGGCTTAATCTAAGGTTCACCTTCGGTGGTGTTCCCCTGGGTGGGAGTGCTGGCGGGGGGGACTCCCTGGGCTGCTGCAGCCAGACCCACCTGGCAGGGGGGTGTTCAGAGCACCCATCCTGCACCAGGTCCAAAGCCAGGCAAAGGTGTCCTCCTGGGCCCACCCCAGGGAAAGGTGTGTCTGCTCCCGGGTCCATCCACGCAGGAAAACAACTTCATTTTTTGAAGGTAGCTCTTAGTGGGTTTGTGGGGTTGCACTGGGCTTTCATCTGCAAGAGGTGAACTCTTTTATTTATTTATTTCATCTCAGTGTGGCTTTCTGAAGGTCACCTTGTTGCACAGCCACACCATCCGAGTGCCTTTGGTGCTCAGAACTGAAACTGGGACTGTGGGGCTCGGCCCTTACACACCGTGCTGTGATTCAAACAGCAATGCTGATGCAAATGGCTTTGTAATTCTTTAGCTTCCTTTTATTTTTGTATATTTTTAAAGCTTTTTTTTTCATCTCTCTTGGTGTACAGTTGGCACCAATTTGATCTGTAGGTATTTTATCAAACACACCTGCAGCAGGATGCACCCCTTCAAGTTCAGAACTAGTGGGGTTTGGGTTTGGGTTTGCTGTGCCAGCCTGTGAGTTCCTGTGTGGCACAGACCCTGTGGGATTTGGTGCTGGTACTGGGTGGCACCAACTGGCACTGCACACTCAGCTGATTTTGTGGACAAGCTGCAGAACCCATCACAGTTCACCTGAAGGCACAAAACAACCCATTTCTGAAACTTGCTGTTTTTCTAGACCTTCTGTGCTTGTGCTTGTTGAGCAGCATGTGAAAAAAATTCCCCCCTTGTCCCTTTTATCCCTGGGAAGGATGTTTAAGGAGCAGGCTGTCCGACCTTGGCCTGACTCCTGTGCCTCTCTGACCTGTCCTTGTCAGAGCCCGGATCTGCCAGGGAATTCCTTGGGAAATCTGGGAATGAGTGCTGATGTTTCATTTTGTCAGGAAGCAGGGACAGGGATAGTGTAGTAACAAGGCATCTTTGTTTGGCCCCTTGCTCTGAATGAAGTCCATTGATGGGAAGAAGAAAACCCTTTATTATTGCCAGAGGGCTCTGCAGAGATTCAGACAAGCCCCAGGAATCTTGCCCACTTTATTTTTCACATCTCCATCCCCGGTAGCTGCCTCGGCTGCACCAGCACAAGTCCCACACAAGGACAGGGACCAGCAGAGCCTGTACTTGACCCTTCACCTCCCCACCAGGCCCCTCTTCAGAACCTTCTCCTGGGGGAGGGGTGTCCTGGGGGGACCTTAAAATCCACCAGGGCAGTGGAATCACTGAGCACTGTGAGAGCCTAATGATCATTCAGGAGCTGGGCTCAGTGATCCTTGTAAATCCCTTCCAACTCAGAATACTCCAAGATTCTGTGATCACACGTCGTGTTTTTGCGCATTTACCTTTTGGTCTTACCTTACTTAATCCCAAAACGTTTAGGGGAATTCCTGTTAATTTTTGCTTTTTTTTTTTTTTTTTTAAATTTTTAAATTTCAAATTTATTCCCACCTTTCACGTGCCTGGAGCTGTGTTTTATGAGTCACCCCAACGCTCTGCAGCGCTTCGTTTCCTCGCACGTGGAGCTGGACGGCGAGCGGCGGTGCCGAGGGCTGGGAGCAGTTAACACTCTTGTGGTTCACTAACCTTTCTGGAGTGTTTGAAAAGAGAAACGTGAGCTCCTGGTTTTCTGCCCCTGCAGTGAAACCCCACGAGTTTCATACACATTGAGTCATGGTGTTGACAGGTGACTGATAAACATCTGCACCACTCGAGTTACCGTAACTGAGAGATTCGTGGATCCGATGTTTGCGAGTCACTTGCACACAAAACCTTTCATCTGCTCCTTTCTTTGGTATTGTGTGTTGGGTTTTTTTTGTTTTTTTTTTTTTTTTTTTTTTTTTTTTTTTTTTTTTTTTTTTTTT